CGCCTGCGTAGGTTAGATATTATGAGGAGAAGGTGAGGTGCACAAAGTTTATATGATTTGCGGTGGTCCTATGATTAAACCGTCAATTCAGTTCGTACACTACTTCAACCCAGCAACGTCGCTAAACTTCTATCCTAGAATCAAACTAAGTCACGGGTTTCCTAATGGTTTTCAATGTCATAGACTGAATGGTACATATAGTGGTCGGAGGCAACCCAAATGATTAGTATTGGCATTTCTTACGCTGGGGCGTATGTGGAGCAGTGGGTGCTCGCAATTGTAGAATCAGACCGCTGGTTTGATTGCAGTATGAATATTTGACCAGCCTTCATAAAAATTAGATGCGAATTATAGAGTAAGAGAACTAAAGGATGTCCGGACACCACACGCGCTCCACCATAATAAGTATGCCAGCTGAGTTAACTCGTACTGAGTCACTTGGAGCCTACGAATAACGATTGCATCACCACACATCCGGCGGCAGCCTTATTGCACATAGAATCCTTACAGTATTTAATTATTTATGTCATCTGATCTTCGTTCTGCTAATCCCATGTATCTGATTGGAAATCCAGCGGTTTCATGACCATTTTTAAGATGATAGAGATAAACACCAACTTAAGACAATCTAGACTCTTGTAAACGGTGCACCACTCCTCATTCTCCACATCTGCTTCACACAACATAAATAGACACACTACGTGGCACTAAGTCAAGCAGGATTCTTCTGGGACAGAACTCACCCCGACTCACCGCACAGGCCTGTTAGATTTGAAGCGGTACCTCATCACTGAAAATCTGATTTATATCTACGTATATGGCTATTATCCGGCCTACTTTGTCGAATGCTGCAGATTAGCATTCACAATCATACACGACAAACACAACAAGACAGGCCGTGCCAAAAACTTAGCTCCAGGACCGCCAGTGAATACGACATACCCGAATGCTTACCATATCCTACCTGGTACTGACCTCCTATATCTATGCACGTTTCCCTTCCCCAGTTCCCTGTCACCCCTAAAAAGACCCCCCCCCGCCAACCATCCGACGAAACCATCAGCTCAAAGTTAACACGATGTTCTTCAAGTCTCTCTTCAACCTCAAACAAAAATCGCCTCGAAACTACAAGCTCGCAACCTTGGGGGCCGAGATGGCGAAGACTCGAGTCGCTGTGCAAGCCGACGACTTCTACAAGCGGTGCCGGGGGCAAGGGTGGCGGATTCAGCGGCCAGAGGCGCAGGAGGTGGCAGAGGAGGGGTATGAGTGTCTGGATGAAGAGAATGTGAAGAAGGAGATGGAGATGGAGGAGTGGGATATGAGTCAGAGGGAATTTGATTTCGCGGAAGATGAGGATGAGGTTAGGGCGAGGAGGGATATTCACTGAGAGGCCTCGTGGAACAGGCATGGAACGCAGGGGGGTTACGGAATGTCGGGTACGGAATTTCAGGTACGAGGGATCGGATGTCGATGGATGGTAATTAATGTTGTGATACTCCAGTGGGTATCGCGGACAAAACTGACAAGGAATCTGATATCAGGTAGACACGCACAGACATGGCATGGGTCAAGCATAACGGATGACTGAGATCTTGAAGGTCGAACTTATCATTTGGTAGACTGAAGAATCTACGATATCAGAATTATTAATGCCCGCTATGCTATGGTGATTCGTTAAACTTCTTACTGCCACGTTTGATTTCCACTCGTGCAATCCTTAATGGTGCTTTCCCCAACAACCTAATCTCCTTGGTTTCAACCAAGGTAGGGTACTAGCTGCATTGGTTACTGTCCCTCATGTCTCATTTATACTGTGCCATTTCTCTCTTTCGATTGCAGGACTCATTTCTTCCCTTTTTTCTTCTTCTTTCCTCCACCACCTCCTGTCTTTTGTTCAGCTGCAGGCCCCCCTGACTTGGCGTCATTCTCTACCGTCGGCGTCGCAACTCCAGTCCCTGGTTGTTCCGATGGTGCACTAATATCTACGCACAATCAGTCTATGTTCTGCCCACATTAGCCAAAGCACACTCTACCCTCTGTGACCTCCGGCAAAGCAGCCATGTGTCTTCCTAGCTTCCCCAAACTCCCAACCAGTCTCCCCACCTCCGCCGCCTTAGTTGTCTGATACTTTAGACATGTCCCAGACACCGGATCATATGTTTTGAGTTTGAAGGTCGCGGTTACCGCTATTGCAGCAACCGCTGCCTCTGGGGGCGGGGATCCAGTCGGTCCAGATGTAGTCTTCGGATAGTTTTCGTAGAATTTTTGGCGCTTGCGAATTTTTGAGGCAGTGGGTTTTAGGACGGTGTATTTAGATGTTATGCGGGTCTGCAATTGCTTTGATTAATTACGTGCCAGGGGAGGCGGATTTATAGAGGGAACCGTACGCTTGAGGGTCGAGCCTTGAGCAAAAGGGAGCTCTGTTCGAACCATTCTGCGCTTGATTTGGAGTCCGGCATTTTGGTTAGAATTGAGGGTATATTATGAGTTTGATACTTTGGATTTGGAGTTGAGGTGTGAGATAACTTTCCGCTGTGTCCGGAGAAACGTCGGGCCGGCGATAGGGCTGAAGATATTGTAGAGGAGTCATGTCTTCTGACAATGATACTTGGAAAGTGGATAGAAAAGGCCGGTGAAAGGCGTGCAAAAAGCGGCATACCGCAAAACAGGTCACCTCCAGCACATTCCCCTGAAACTGGTATACTGGACGTTTGCGACTACAAGCAGCTTTACGAGACCGATTGAAGGGCAACATCCAAAGGGATTGTGGATTCAGCAAGGAAAGTGAGTGTATGCGGAAGGGCCAAACCAAGAGCTACATTTGCGTGTGCTTCCCGAAGACACCAAGATGTCAACTCCACCAGTTAATGAACTGGAGAACCTTGAAATCGCTCCATCAAATGAGACTACATCAACTGACCTAAAAGCCACGGTTCAAGATTTAATATCCCGCTGCAAAGCAATTCATGAAGAGGTCGAAACATACGTTGCAGCCGTAGACGCCAACCAGAAGCTTGCAAGGACCCAAAATCCTGTCGAATATCGTTCCCTCAGATCCGACTTCAAAAATGAGCTCGGTTTCCTTCAGAAGCTCTCAACTTCCAATCTATCTGAAGAAAGGGCGCGACACTACATTGTGTCTTCCAACCTAGTCTATTATGAAGCTCTGTGGGACGCCGCCAAACGCAGTTCTGGATTATTGTCGTTCAGAAAGTACTTCTTCTGGAACCGCCAAAAGGAGGGCCACAAAGCTGCCTATCAAGGTCTGAACTTGGGAAAAGGTAGCCAGGTAAAAGGGAAAAGCGCTGCGTTAGTTGACATCGTAGCGGCCGATGGGATGGAATGGGTACGCGTATCCACTATCTCGGAAAAACGATTGCTGTTTGACCTGGCAAAACTGGGCTGGATGAACGATAGCGATGAAGACGAGGATATGGATGATCAGAGCCGGATGGATGAAGAGGATGATGAGGATGAGGTCGATATCGTCAAGCACGCCCGGGACCTTGCTAGAGCCGCAAAGGCAAATCCAATACGGGGAAGATCTCCAAAAGTGAGATTCGTCCTGACCCGTATCGAATCTGGGCACTTGAAAGAAGTAGACGCCGTTGTTGACAAAGTTCGAGCAACCGGGGCTACCGTCCAGTGCGCCAACGAGATTGGACCGTCGCCGCTACTATCTTCCGTACTTCCTGAACTCCTCGTTGATAGATCTCGGACCCTATCAAAAATTCTCAATATCGACTGCACTATTCTCCTTGCGCTGGTATCCGATATATCACACGCCCAGTGTCCAATTCTTGATTGGTATCCTGGTGAAGTACGCGCACAAATCAAAGAAGAAACTCAAGAGAAACTACTACCAACGCATTTATATCCAGCTATTGGCTCTCATCCCATGGTCTGCACACAGGAAGCTGCTGATCAGATGAACTTGATTGTCGACACACTCGCCACTGATACGGAGAAAGCACGCGCAAACATCCTGCTTCAACAAAACAATCACGAATCAACAGACCCTACGGAACTAGTCAAGGCTTGGGCGGAACTCTCCGACCATCCAGTCCCAGATGGTTTCAGTCTCCCGATAAGCGTCGTACCTAGCAATTTGGACGACGCTATGCAGAAGCTACCAAAAGTAGCACAAAAAGCGGCTGAAGAGCTGACCTCTTTGAATAGAGCCATATTCTTCTACGGATGGGCAGAGGGACTGACAACTCTGAGTTCTAATCGAGCTCGGGCACGCCAAATCGAGCATATCATCAACGAAAATGGCATAGAGGATGGAGAAGCAGGACCTCATATATGGCTTTGTGGGGAGAGCCGCAGTCTCATAGCTAAACATGGGCGGAGGAAATAGATACTGGGATACGAGGCTAGATGAGGGAAAGGGAAATAGGGATGAAAATCATCATAGAGATACCAGCGTAGAATATGATTATAGTTCTAGACATGGGAGGTTGGGCCTGCGGCAGCAGCATACTAGCTGCTCAGTACCCACCCTGCGTATGCATATTCCTTCCGCATACTTATTTCTAGCTCTTTTTCCGTTACTATAGTCATCATCATACCCTTTACGTCTCCCTTGTCATCCCAGAAGCCACTTTTGTGAATCGCAATAGTGGGAAATGGACCCTTTTCTGCCCATGGCTTTAGGTGAGGATGCTCGTGGAAGTGGAGGATGCCGAAAGATAGTCCTTCCACGAAAAAGTGATTGTGTGATATATAATATCGGGGTACGCCAAATGGCAATTAACTATCGACATTCTTTAGAAGACTAGATCATGTTGCACGAAGATTGAGGATAGGAATGACTGGGAGGAAGATGTGAGTGCGCTTCGTCCACTCGATAAAGAACTTTCCAGGGCCCAAAACTCCCTTCCTCCCTCAATTTCGCGGACCAAAAAAAGGACTCAGCCTCCGCTTTTCACAAACAAAAAGGAGTGCACAAAAAAGGTCATCGCGTGTGTCACAAAACGTACAAAAAGAAGATATTCAAACGACCTGGGCAGGGATCGAACCTGCAATCTCTTGATTACTTAATCGTAGTCAAGCGCCTTGCCATTTGGCCACCAGGCCAGTTGCTTGATAACAGAAATGGAAATTAAAATAATATATATAGTAATTACAATTGATGCCTTAAATTATTTTTGATGAGTCAGGCGAGCAGATTAGAGGGGTTGGAATTTAACAAGCACCAACCTTGCAAGGCCCATTATACATTCTGATTCTGAAAGAATACGATTGGCTGAAATTTATTTTTTTGGTTTCAAGATGCACAGAATCAAAATCTGTAGCACGCAGAAAACGTTCACAGATACTGAAGCTTGAAGATGTTCATAGATATTTTTTAAATTATACAGTGGGCAATTTGTAATCTCATGGTTGTACTCTCCTAAGACCGATCCTTCATCTCTCGCAGTGTCTTCATCACATCCACCGGCTTGTCATGACCGACTAATTGCTGAATATTTGAGTCGTTTACCCTCATGAACACATTGTGTTGCTATTTCTAATCAGCATATGGTCCGGCTTCAAATAGCTCATGAAATATCGCAAACTCACCTTCTCATCCCCAATGGTGAACTTCCCCTGCGTCTCCTTATTCGCCTGCGAATACTCGTCTAACTTCCGAATCGCATCATTGTTCAAAACCTTTTTCGCAAACCGCACATTGCCCTTCGTATACTCGTGACCGGGATAGACTCTCGTGTCGTCGGGTAGCGAAGCAAGTGTTTCGTTCAACGCCTTGTGCATCTCTGTCGCATTGCCCTCAAAGAACCGTCCGCAGCCTCCGATGAAGAGGGTATCTCCAGTGAAAACTGCCTTGTCTGCCCCATCCTCAAAGAAGTAGCAGATGCTATCCTGTGTATGACATGGAGTGTGGAGCGCCGTCACCTTGATGCCCTCACCAACATTGAATGTGGATTTATGATCGGGAGTCATAGTTACTTTGTCGCAGTCTTTGCCGCCGATTATTGGGAGTTTGAAGTGTTTGAGCTGCGTAGTTAGCCTCGTACTAGCGAGAGGGAGGAGAATGTTACAATTTCGGAATTGCCACCGGCATGGTCGTGATGGCTAGGGGAGGTGTTAGCATTCGCGCAAGACCGCTGAGATGGGGAGCTCACTGATGTGTGTTGATAATCTTTGAGAGCTTGATCGCACCGCTATCTGTCTTGTCCTTGAGAATTGGTAATACTCTGGGAAACGGAAGTCAACAATTTTGGTTTGACTCATGTACGCCCTTGCATACGTACTCAGGTGGATTCGCAGGGTCGATTATAACAGCTTCCTTCGACTTGTCGTCTGTCACCAGGTACGCATAATTGTTCCCCGTCCCCTCCCCTTTCTATCGCATTAGATGTATATTGTAGAGCTTTCAGAGGGATACTCTTACACATAGGGATCGACTGGATATGCATTGCGCGTGAGATTGCCGGCTGCTATACGTTAATCCTGTGAATTCAATTCATTCTAAATGATATTATCTTACCCTGGCAATTGGGTTCAGAAGGTTTCCTTGTGAGCTTCTCTTAATGACAGCGGTAAAGAGGCTCATAAGGAAGATGCTGAGCAGAAGGTGTTTTGTTGAAATCATGCACCTTCTGTTATGTGAGGAGCCTCGGATGATGAGGGGCGAATGACGAAATGCAACTTATCGATAAGACTGCTTACGTTATGCTCTTGGAATTTACGCTGATTCGACGACCTGAATTTCTTCTCGCCGACAATCATCATCTTTCATCACATTTATCGTTCTAGATTTCACTTGTGACGGTATACATATCCCAAAACGACGTTTATAAGGCTAGGAGGATATGAAACCAGCTTTTTGCATCCTTGACATCCAAGGGAGTTCTGTACGCATTAACAAGCCTTTCTCCTTCAATATCTCGATGTTCATTGTGTCCGGGTTAAGTCTCTCTTTCCTTCAGTATCCGAGGGAACTCGCCCATACTCAGTCCGTTGTCCACAACTAGAAAAAGGGGGTAGGATCCGAAAAGGCTAGAAGACATGAGCGAATTGGACGCACTTGAAATCAGTATTTCACTCTTCTAGTCTTATGTATGCAACGTGCTAAAAGTTTTTCCCACTTTATCATATTTTTATCCCTTGTGTACTATTTAAGGCCATATTGTATTCTATGAGGGACAACGAAATAGCATTGACGTTAAAGAGAACTTGGAATTTGGAGAACGTGAGGTGAGGGCCTCAACAAAGAGAGCCGTACTAGACGAGAATTAAACATGAATCAGCAATGTATTTGGAAGATCACCATCGCTATTATTAGGTATGCGTGTGTCGCTATCCCATACGCGCGATTGCTAGAAACCGAAACAGCACGCCGCCTCGTCCTTCTCGTTTGTTCACTCCATATCAGGTGCTGTCAAAGTTAAACGCAGCACCTAGCGTTCACCAGATTATTATTTCCAGCTAGGAGTCAATCATTGGCAACTTATGACCAGCCGACCAATTAACTCTGCCCTGTTATCTCCTAAACTGTCATATACTGTCGCACTCGAGCCGTCGACCATTCCTCCTCGACTCATCCGCGACGAGCGCGATATCTCCGATCCAAATCTTCTGGGCATGGACGAATGCCAGAGGTAACTCATCCGCAAGTTCCCAAATCCCGCTGACCATCCCTTTCGTGTGCGTCTTCTAGCCCACCCAGAAAGCTCGAGGCGCGATCAAGCACTGTACCAGACCCCCGGTTACCAGCATCCCCACGCTATCATTCCTCAGCCAGTTCAGTCCAGAGGCTGAAGCGCAGATGACCCAAGATTTTCGCCGTATCCAGAGACAAGGTACTTGCCGAGCTTTCAATTTTCATGTTGAAAGATGTATTCAATTGAATATTAGACGCGAGGGCAATGCCAGCAATGCTCCCACCTGCACCTTTCTCCCGCTTATCTTTCAATGAAGCAATCATCGCGCTGGAACAACTAGAGAACCAAGGAGGATGGCGTGACAATGTGATCGATCTGTGAGTATGCCTAATTCCACGTGTAAGAAAATCTTAACCAGAGGAAGGACGTTCTGCGTCAGCACTGACATTTCAGGGTATCAATGAGCCTTGGATGGGATGTACAGCGATTCGGACTTATTAGATCCGGACCCAACATCACCTCACAGTCTACTGGGTATACAGGTCAAGCACCTATTGGACGGTGGCGAAGCAGCACTCCTCCAAAGTACGAGGGCCCTTGCAGACGTCGATTTAGGACCCCTCCATGGCCTTCACCACCCAAATTCGCAGTCCGTTTCGACGCCCAGCAGACCTCAGAAGCGAGAACCCAGGAAGTTGTGAGCCAAGGCAATCTGATAGCTCAAACCGAGCACCAGCCCTCGGTCGTTACCTTCAGTGTGCCGCGCGGCAGTGAAACAAGAGATGAGGAAGACACCAGTGCTCGGAACATTGACGGATACCGCAACTCTAATGCTGACAGACAGCCACGCAGTACAAGACGAACTGCGCGGTTGGCTCGTTCTCTCTTCACATTTCCTTCAGGAGTATTCGATTCAGGATCCGAGACTGAGCTAGGTGGTGATGAGCCGATTCCAGGGTATGCAAACTATAGTCCGGAACTGACTGATCGTCCGATTGAGACAGACTTTGGTCACGGTATAGTGCTGAGCAGATCTTTTGGAGGAATACTCACCCCACAATTCGAGGCATCATGTCTGCAACAGCAGCCATCGCCATAGAGCGTTGGATAACCCACCCAAGCAGAAGGCGAAATTGAGTATTCTACGCTTCCAACTCTGTCTCTATGCCAGCAATCATTGCAGGAAGCCCAACCGCCGGTACAGCATACCCCAATACCGCCATCAGCCGTGCCAGCGCGCCCAAGGAACCTCAAGAACTATCCAGCCAGGCGCCTCGACGATACTAGATTCCACCGGAGATCAGCAGGAGTTGACCCTCCCGGATCATTTGCTCGTCCCGTTAGACCGGTTCCTCAATCTGAACGCCACGGTCCAGCGCCGGGCCGCCGACTCGTTTCGGGTTCATTCGGTTCCTTTGAGCAGCAGACTCGTCAACCTCGTGGATCTCGCTTTCAAGAGAGGAACTATAGGCTGCTGCCGGGCGTTGCTGAAGCTACCTGTGAACGTTCGCAGTCTCCTCAGAGATCTCCTAGCTGGGAGCTAGATCCACCTCCACCACCAATGGCACGCCGGGCTGATCCGGAAGGCCCCATTATTAGAGCCCCGATACACAATTGGGCTTAACCCGGTCTTCTAGAGGTCTCCATCACCTTATTTGGACTTTATACATTTGGCATTGGGCTGGCCAGGTCGTATTTTTCTTGCTTTGCATATTCCTTCTAGATAGCTCACTGCTTGATAAGTTAATACAATTTCATTTAAGGAATTTCAATATCAGCGAGACGGGTCTTATTAACCTGTGCCTAGTGAACGGACTAGCCACCGGTTAGACGAGATGTTTAGACATACAGGCTAGCTGTTGCTGGGGGACGAGGGATGAGGGATGAGGTGACACTGGCTGAACGCCTTAGTAGAAGAACTGAAGCTGAATGTTAGCAAGCTCACGACACATTTAGCTAGACGAAGTGATGCTGGTTCATGCTGAGATGGTCCTGTAGTCGCGTCAAGCATTCATAAAGAGCAGAAGGTCCCTTGGATTACCCATGCACAGGCTAGACATGATGAATGACAAAGCCCTGATTGAACTAACGCAATAGACCTAGGTCTGAGAAAAAGGATCGGAACTGAAGAAAGCTTGAAGCGGAACTCGTTCCGCGTCTCCTCCTCGTCTGTGAGCATCTAGCGACGATTGTTAAATTATGGCTCTTGAGTCCTTCCGACTTTGGAAATGCTTGACAAAGTTCTTGGAGAACGTAAGAGCAAGATTAAGGAAAAGATGGTGATAATAGTCAGGAGGCTCATGGGATGAAGTCTTTTGGAACGCTCAACACTAAACCCCATTAGGAAATATCCTCGGCAAAGCTTGACAGCGGGGATCCGAACAAAGATCGACGACAGGGATTATATTCACCGTGATAAAATGCCTGTGATATCCGTCATACCTCACCTCAGCTAGAAACTCACTCAAT